CTATCACAGTGGGCGGCTCAGGCTTTGTCGTCTTTGTCGTCAAAACCCTCGCCTCCCGCGATCACAGTGGGCGGCTCAGACTTTGTTGTCTTTGTCGTCGAAGCTACCTCCCACTCTCACAGTGGGAAGCTGCCCAGTGCAGCGAAATGCTGTCGGCCTGACCTCCAAACTGATCATCTACTTACATAAGATTTCCTGGGTTCACCTTTCCACCGGGGCCAACAACATACACTCAAAAAACCTCAAACAGCCAGGGGGAACCGAAAAGGAAATCCTGGATGAAGACTAGATGAAACTGGAGTTGGAGGCTTGAGCCCCTAGATTTCATTTTGCCGCATTCGACCCCTACTTACGGGTTTAGAGCTTGTAATTGTCAAGGGCGAATAGGTGCTTGGCTTCTTTATGCTTCCTCGTGTTTGTTCCGTTTTTTGTACTTTTAAGCTTTGTAGGCTTTGGGGCTATCGTTTCTAGAGTCGAAGGCAGAAACCGCCATCAAAGCACTTCGCGGGGCGGGGCGGGACCAGGATACTGGAAATGAACTTGACTTGCTTGATCCCCCCGATCAAAGCGAAGAGTTGCACGCAAAGGTTGGCGAACGGTCGGTCACCTTTACTTTAAGCCAGCTGGCCGAAATACCCTTGGAGGGTTCCCCTCTTTAAACAAAAACTTGAAGTGCACCCCTCACCACTCTCAGTGCTTTTAATGACGGACACCCTACACCTGGCCCAAATTGTCCGAGATCTTTTTGAATCCACCCCCAGGCCCGCGCCACATAAGGTCTGCAAGAGGTCCGTCGTGCGGGATCTCTGCGAACCGGTCCAAGAGGCGGATCTGACGCAGAAAAGATGGAAATAGCTGGGAGGTTTGGAAGTTTTCAGGTTTGGAGGCAGAGGTGGGCTCCTGGGTCTTGGGGCGGAAGATTTCTTCAGAGACATGGATTTGAGTGAGTTGCAGTACCTATGAGAGCGTTCGCCGAAACTCCTTGTAGAATCCGATGCCATGGACAATTTGGGGGGATCCTGTCGCTGTTGGGGTTTTGGCGTAGGATAGAAGCAACGGTGTCGCTTTTGGGGGGTTCAGCCAAAACACCGTCATGCTTACGTCTTAGATTGAGGGGTATTGCTTTCGGGGGGGTCCTATCGCTTTTGGGGCTTTTCTCGCGATTCCTACATCTCACGGCATTCCTTCTCTTCGTGGCCAATACGCGAGTATTGACCATTGCTCATGTGGTTGTTAATTCTCAAGATAGTTGGTTAGTCAAGCCTGCTAAGTGCTGCTTTTCGGGGGTTACTCAGAATCGGAAGAAGAACCCGACACTGCCAAGGCTTCAGGATGCCCGCATAAAGAGCGCCTGGTCCAAGTGGTGGATCGAAGGAGACAGGCCCCCATGGACCGCCAACATGCTGCCCCCGATCTGCGCAGAAACTGACTTCTTCCAAGACTTCTAAGCAGAATAAGAAGCTTTCTATCTCTTTTCACCACGGCTCAGAATTTAATTTGTCTTCAGCCTTGCAACGATGTAACCTGCAAGGTTCTGGTGAGACGGCCCGCCTGGCCACAATCTTCCCCTTAAGGCCCAGTAGGACTGAATGTGAATCAATCAGTGCCCCAGCCGGGCATGCAATGACAAAGCATGACAAAGCCACCTGGCTAATGGCCCTGGAGGAATCTTGAGGCATCCTCAGGCCACACCAGCGAATTTTCAATTTCAGCACGCGGAACTGAACAGGCTGGCCTCTCGTGTAACACATGCACACAATGGCCGTCGCAAGCCGATTCCAATCTTGAGCATCCTCCATCGTACTCTAAATCCTAAAGTCAATAATCCTAGGCCAACAACACAGGCGTAAACCCTGAGAATCACAAAATTTCCCACCCACTGGAAACACTGGTAGGAAGGATACGATAACCTTCGCACCAACTTGCAAGCTCAGTTGAAAAAGCCAGGCTTTAACTTCTCATGCCTTTCTTAGAGATCCGATGGGAAATGATGAGGGATTTCAGTTGAGGCGTGTAGTCCCTCTCGTGTCGCAAGCTGTTCCAGACAATGTCCCGATGGAAAAGTCTGCACGCCGCCGCCCCTAGCGAAGCAGCGTTGTACTTCAACTTATTCCTAAAGTTCAGGGCTCAGGGTTTGAGGGCCCTCTCCATATGAGAAGACGTTCAACATGTGTTCTTGATGGCCGTATCACCCGCTCACTTATTGCAGGAATATCCCGGCCAAGATTACACGCTTCAACCCGTTTCTCCACCATGGGAAACCTTTCGCCGACATGGTCTACACAAATGATGTTCAGCCTGCGTTTTCCGTTCGTCCCCCGCCCAAATTTTGCGAATCATGAACCCTTCTGGATGGACCAATTGAGATAAACCTTTGGAAGCCCTCTCCGTGTGGAAAATCTCGTGCCGTCATTCTGTTGACAATGATTTGGCAACATATGTTGAAGAAGGTTGAGGATTATCTGTTAAGCTTGCCGTTTACAGCCCTCTCTGACAAGATGGAAGCAAAGCACAATATGCAAAACTCAGCTGATTCCGATCAGCAGCTTTCTTGGTGGACACGTGGGGTTTGAGCAATTCAGTGACGCTTGAAGGTTAGGCACTGCAGGGATAATCAGAATTAGGGGGTGTAGGGGTGAGGGGCAACGGGATGCATACCCGTCTTGAGGGCGAGGAGAACATATAGTTCTTCACACCCGGCAACCAGCTGTGAAGGTGAAGGTGGGAAACATTCTCACAGAGCTCCATAATAACTCTCCTCATGGAAAGGTGGAGACCTTTATTTCAAGCAACGCACAGTTCTCGTGATTGCACCCCATGATGCTCCAGCATGACCTACTAAGTCCCGTCTCTTTACACACCCGAAGCGTTGATGGTTGTGGACACCACCCTGATTCTCTTTCGGCACGCTGTCACCCAGTCCAATCATCCGTTTCACGTTCTGCTTCCCCTGCAATATGCCCTTTCCAGGATTCTGGCATTCATGGGCATTTGATTCCTCTTGCCCCTGACGGTCGTCAAAGGGGAATCATCACTTACCAGATCCTTGCATGCATTCTCAGGCTACCAGATTACAGACCTGCGCACTATTCCATGGCCCTCGCGCGTGCACCTGTCTCTAAAGCCATGGAACATTTCGTTCTTCAGATCCTTGATTTGATCAAAGGGCGGTAATCTTTTTATCAGGATTGCCTGTCCTTCCCGCCCTGTTCGAAACCCGAGTCGGTGCAGCATTTGCAACATGCGTGCTGACATTGAAAAACGCTTCGCGCTGATGCAAGTGAAATAGCAACTCCTAAAGCCTAGTGCAGCTGGCTTGCCACAACTCCTCCACTCAGGTCTTGGGTTTTAAGCAGGGTCCTCCCCTTGGCGCGGTAGGAAAGCCTCTGCTCCATACCCAAAGCCAAAACAAGATGTTCAGACTTCGAGCGTTGCCATCGTCTGCCTGAGAATCTTGCTTTCGGCACAGGAAGCGTTTGATTTGCAGGCCTATCGCCATGTTGAGCGCGAACAGTCCGCAAAACCTTTGCGACTTTCCGAACTGTACTCGGCTCCAGGCCCAACAAGCAACTCTGGCTGCGGGGTCGTGACGGGATCGCACGATGAGGTATCACCTGTAAAACCGTGAAGTCTCGCAGCTGTCCTTTTCCCCACTTTGCAGGCTCCATGCCTGGCCGCTGAATATGCTCTTGCCCAACTTATCAAGAAGAAGCTCTGCCGTAGAACTGTTGCGTAAGACATTGCCCATACAATACAAGCCTAGAACTGAGCTTCAGATTGCTGCTCTCTAGATGAACGCGGAGTGCCGATGCTAAATGTTTTGGTTCGGTTTCTGCGTGCAGCCTTCCAGGCCCTACATATCAGTACCAACCCCCACGCAACTCACCTTCTTGGGCGTGCACATGGTTCAGAATTGGGCAACCTTTCTCAGGGGAGGGATTGCCTGTCCACCGCCTACAAGCGGCATTGCTGAATGACGTCTAAATCTGGAGGCCATGGGTTGGAAGCAGAGGGCCACACATGTGTCCGGCTTTGACACGCCAGTGCCGAGGAAGAAGGGCAACCCCTTCCTGCACAATCTTGATTTCAATGGGTGGTAAGTTATCCATGTCGTCTTGTGGCAGAAATGTAAAGAGTAATTGACAAATTCTACAGCAAAGGGTTGAAGGCCTTTAGAAGAGAAAACTTGCAGGAGCCGAGGATATGCTGATACGCTTGCCAGATGAAACTTCTTCACGAGGGGTCCACAACCCACGATGCAGATTGAGGATATTGTGCATACTACTCGGTTGACAGGACAGCATGCCATAGCATGGCCCGGCCTTGGCAGGTCAAAACGGACGCCGCTAAAGATATTTGTAAAAATGACAATCAGCAGGAGGACCTCTGGCAGTGCTGTGGCACGTTTAAGAAGTGCATCTGCAGACTGCAGACGGAGCCAACGTGCCAAACAGCTGTGTCCAGGCATTTCCAGCGTACTTTGGCCAGCGTATGGCGAATCACTTGTTTACATCAGTGGAACCATCAACCCCTTACTTGAGTTTGGCTGCAAAATTTTGGACCCCAAGGGGATTCTGACAGCTCCACCAAGTCATTAAGATCCAGGCTACTCCTGCTGAAAGGATGGCCGAGGATGAGATGATCTTCTTCACGTCGCGCCTTCAGCGTGCCAGCGGTCCACTGATTTGCAAGGACCGTCACGAGACTCTTCGAGAAAGCAAATCGCTGCTCAGGGCTGCGCTTCGAGGTGCCTGTGGGCACTGCGTTTGGTGGTCCTGGAAGGTCAGTTGCTGAACCTGCCTTCTTTGCAGCCGTCTTCGGGGCAAAGGTCTATATCAGCTACACGAACCTGAACTTAAGTCGAGCTCTGGCTTTAGGTCTTGGCAGATTACGTCAGAAGTCTTCATCTGTTGCCTTCAGCCCGAGTCTAATGAGTCAAATGTATCTTCAAGCCTTTCCGGTCCAAACGATCTCAATACAAGCCTACTCGCGTCTTCTTGTACAAAGTCACCTCGCGGCGTAGGCGGCTGGGAGGAAGGTGCCTGGGGCAGAGGTTTCATCAAAGGTGTGCAGGTATTGCATCAGGAAACCATTGGAAGCTAGCTAGGTGGAAGCAAATCACACCCAGACCTGTACCGCCAATGCAGCACCACACTTGCAATAGGCGCAAACATGAGATTCGGAGAACCGGCTCGTAGTCCAATAGCAGCATGTGTGGCCTTGCAATCGAAGTCCTGGCAGGTTCCCACCTGCTTCAGGATGGCACAGGCCGAAATGGCTGAGACATCAAATCCATGAGCCACTCTTCCACCCTGATTCTTGGCGCTTTGGATGATTGAGCTTCAGACCCGCCGGCAAATGAAGCACCATCGTGTCCGACAGCTGTCATGGTAAACCTGGGTGGATGTTGAAGGCTTGTAGATTTAGATCAGAGTACGATTTCAAGACACACATCCAGCGTAGAAGTGCTTTGGGGAGCTTTGGAATGAGGCATCAGCAATTGACCTGCTTGATTCCCAGGCAGCTTAGCAGATGGAAAACTCTAGACTCTAGGCCCGGGTTCCCAACCATGTTGCAGCCGCCCACGTGCTCCACCATGGCCTTAGACCAAGTGCATGTCATGACATAGGCAAGTTGTTTCATGCATGAGGCACCGCTTGAAGCTTAGCAAACAACGGACCACACGAACCCACATGTAAGTCCAGTACTCCACATTGTGGACACGGCCGGAAGCGCGGTGCTCCCATCTCGGCACTGCTGAAGCTTGACCAGCTGTTCAGTGCTTGAATGCTCAGAAGGGCTGAGAAGGGCACAGAAGGGATTGCGCTGGAACCGGCCCTGTTACCCTTGTAACTCCTACAGAACATTACACAAGATCGGTACAATGCGCGCAGCTCTGCTCGGGATCTGAGCATCTGCCAGAAAGACTTTTCCGTATGTGACGCATTGTGACACTGAACAGTGCAGTGTGGATCGCTGAGCGCGCAGCAAGGCGACGTCGTGTTGTCGCCTGGAAATCGTGGCCTGTCGCTCTGCTCTGCGGACTTTTCCCAGCTTGTCTGATATTTTGATCTCATGCTGGAAAATGGTAAGTGGGCCGAAAGATTTAAGTGTGCGTTCTCTGATCTTGTGCAGCCTGTCATGACAACAGCTTCCCCTACCCGGGTTGTGATTGCGATTGGGCATGAGAGGCAGAAAAACTCCGCGGCCTCCAGCGAGCCTTCTCTCCAACTCTTGTCTCTCCTGATGGCAAGGCTTTACGGGTTGCGGCAATCGATCGGAAACGGATGCATGTTCTGCGTTGTTGTTCCCATCCCTTACCAACACACTACATTAAATAGCAGAATGTGATTCTGCTGAGCCATCCGTAGTGGATGTAGCCTCGCCCCCAACCATGACGACAGCATTGTCGATCGAGATTGAAAAGAACTGCTCCTTTCACCCTGTGCTTCCTCCTTGCGTGTTATTATCAGTCGCAAAGTGCAAGGGCGGGCGCACATAGCAGTGCCGAGATCTATGCCTGCTCCATGTCTTGTTTGGTCAGTTGTTTGGTCGGCACAAAGTCTTCGAAGAGGATGCACAAGCACTGCTTGGCTTTTCAAAAAACCTGGCGTGGATGTGTCTTTGATACGCCTAAATATGCCAAATACGCCTGAAAGGACAGGCCGATGCAACGGCAAGGGTCCGAAAAATGTGGCCTGGAATGAGCCTGTCAAGTAAGTACAGCTCAACTTCGGGTGTGCTGTGTCCTGTTTATATTGTTCATAGAGGGGTCGTATACGCGATGCAAGCCCAGGTATTTGGAACGTCAGCATCGATCGGCAATAAGACTCACCTTGGGCCATTTCGTTGCCCCAAATACTTTCTCTTTCTTGCTGGTTGTAATGCAGCGCTTATGTCTGATCACTTTGCACATGCTTGGAGCGTCAGACCCGGCTCGACGACGTGCAGTGGCAGAATCCGTCGTGCCGTTCCTGCAGCTATTCGCTCTTCATGCTCTTCCAAGGCTTTGAAGAGAGGCTCGGATAAGTCTGCCTCGTAAAATCTCGTAAATAAACTAAAGGCCGCCAAAGTCAGGCGCCTGCAGCCGCCGAAGTTCGGAACGAACTTGCCATGGCCAGGCTGCCAAATCGGATGAAGCTTCGGCGGTGGAGCGCGATTGGCTGTTCCAGGTGCTTGGCATGCGTGGCCGCCCTTGCACCGCGCTGCTCATGTTGACAACAGAAATCAGGCCCAATAAATTCTGCAACAACCGAAGCTTGGGAGTAACATGGAGCAGCCCTGCCTACTGCTTTGTGGGCATAGAGCAATTCATAACAAGCCATGGCAGGCGTCGCGAAGGAGAGGTGCATGCCTAGGGAAACACAAAGCCGGGATGGGCAGCAGCTTTGGCTCCATGAGATGAGGCACCCCAAGTTTGGGGCGGGGACAACAAGTTGCAACCGCGACCCTTGGGCCTATCCACCTGGAAGGAAATCATCGCAAAGTCTCACATAGGGCTGGGAGATGCTGGGCGACATCATCACCTTTTGCCATACCACTTAAAAAAAAGGCCGGTCAGCCTTGATGGCACTCCCACTGCTTGTCACTCTGGGGGCCCATGCAAAACAGTTCGGTCGGGTTGCGTAGGCTTGCACAGGCCGGCGCTGCAAGCAGTCGGCCACCGAAAAATGTTGAGTCCAGCAGTCAAGGCTCGTGCCATCTCTTGGCCCTTGCCCCACCCGTGCGCGCTGCGGCCGCATCAGGCACTGCGCCAGGGCCAGCAGCTGCAGAATGAACGCGCATCATTAATCAGGTGTTTAAGGGACAAGAACACCTTAAAGCAAGAGTGCACACTCTCTTTTGCGTGGGTGCTGTCGCAGCACCAGCGGCTGTATCTTGCCCGAATTGAGGGGCTTGCCCAGCTGAAGGGGTCGCGGGAGCCAAATCGTTTGGATCCTGATCCTCCTGATTTGGACGCTGGCATCGGCCGAACTTGACGGCAACCTGCGCCATCTGCTTTGGGTGCTGCTGAACTTCGCGCGTCCGCCGCAGCCGTCATAGCCTTTTCCCGCTCTTCATCGTCGACATTGGGTTTTTGACGTCTTGCTGCACACCTTCTCGACCTGTCCATAACGGCAAAGGACTTATCCTGAAATTCTTCAGCCGGACCAAGAAGGACGCACGAAAGGTTGACACGATGTTACACAGTTATATACAGCTTGGGCAACCATAACTTGTTTTGAGGACGGGAGGTAATGGAACAGGGTAACGGCAGAAAACCTTAGCACTCTCAACAGGCTCACTTAACCTTTAGTGCATGCCGTGTGGCACTCCTGGCCTCCTCCATCAAATCCCAGCAACGATGCCCGGAACTCCTTGCAGGTTGCAGATTAACGGGTTTGACTTCAACAAGTGTGTACAGATGTAACTTACGTAACCTATATGTCAGGCCCGGTGCACAACCTGAGCACTATCTGTGCTCCTCAAAAAACTGATGCCCTCATCATAAAATCAGAGCCATTGATTGAAATCCCACCACGTTGCGCGCAAATTCCTTCATTCCACTGGGCTCCCAAGCCATGGCACGCCGCAAATCCGCCGTGCGCAGTGACGTGCTCCGCAACAGCCACAGTTGCTTGGACAGGGCCTCCAAACTTGTATGGAAGCTGATGATGAGAGTGTGAGCTGTGATAGCTTTCACCTTGCCTCGGCCCATCCACGCTCGGTACTACTCCTGGGCAGTCGGCAGCCTCAAGGTGCTGATCACTGGTGCTGTCGTGCTACAGCAGTATCCCGTGCTTTGGTTCTCTTTCAGTCTAACTGACTATCTTTCTGGGCCCTCTGGCAGTGCAGGGCAATCCACCACTCCGACGGGCCTGGAGCAGAGGCAGACAACACAAAGCTTCTCTATTTCACACGCGAGATTGAGGGTGCAATGGGCGAATGATGACTGTTTCATTCCATCATGACTTTGGGACGAGACGCTTTCTCAATGGATAGGTCTTTCATGCAGGTGCGCCTCCGTCAATTTTTCGTGGTAGACCTGGGCAGGGCCACGCAACACGACTTGCATAGAGGACAATTGCCCGTATATTATGGCAACAGATTCGCCCGATCCTTGCAGCCAGGCCAACCAAGACAGGAGTTCGTGCCCTCTACAGGTTTGCATGCCAGGGAACGTATTCGCCTGTTCCCATTGCGCCACAAACGACGATGGCCGGGATGGGGGTGTTGTCGTAGGGGCAGCGCCCACCCCACCTGTTGGCACCAGCTTTTGAATTTCTGCACTTCTGGTTCGGAGAGGAGGGCGCCCTCAGCCCTTTGTCTCCTCATCTCTCGTCTGGTAAGATCGGCTTAACATGCTTAACGAATTTGAAAGACCGCAAACGCAAGCCTCAAGCAACACCCAACTCTAGCCCAGAATCGAGCTAGAGTGACCTTATGCTTCCCAGCAAGCAGCGGCGACAAAGACTGTGGCCTCGGCACCGTGGGCAGGGAGTTCCTCCTAACCTAGACTCACGTCCAAGCAAAAGATCCGCGTGCCTGAAGAAAGGCTCGTGTATGCAAGCTGCTGCGCATAGCTGGCTCAATGGAGGTTCTCCAAACAGGGTACCTTTCGGCATCCTGGGAATGTACGGGAAGGCAAGGGGATGCTCGGGGTTTTTATTACACACAAAAGACATACGTGTGGATCGCTCGAGTCACCTCACATCACGGCCACTTGCCGGAGGACCGTCGTCCGGCCAGTGAGTTAACAGCTTTCAGTAGTTCTTAGCAGCGTTCGGGGAAGTGTCAGGGCACCGTGGAATCCTGAGGCAAGAAACCCACAGAGCTTCACCTGAATGACAGTAGTTTGAAACCGGTTTATGATGTCCTGTTCTAGCACCATTCTCCACTTCTTTGGTCGTGAACTTCAGTGCAGAGCGTGTTGAAACTGTGGCCGCCGTAGCCACAGACTGATCCAACATCTCTTGACCAGCTGGGGGGGGCATTTCCATGCCATGCCGGCTGGGACTAGAGCAATGCTTTGTCCTCAAAAGTTGAATCTACACGTTTGAGCGCGCTCGCAACTCTTCACGTTTCTCCATCGCGTTCTTAAGATGCTTCACATCTCCAGGAATGCAAGAAGCGTGCTCGTAAAGCTTGTTGCTTCCAGCACGTCGACTGTTCACGATTGTGTGACTACAAGTACCAGGTCATTGTCTTTTAGGTAAGTAAGTAAGTAAGCAAGCAAGCAAGCAAGCAAGCGAGTAAGCAAATGAGCAAGTAAGCAAGTAAGCAAGCAAGTCAGCAAGGAATGGCCAAAGCGCCAATGCAGCCGCTACTCAAGCAGTTAAGAGTGAACTGCGTCCCAGGTGCAACAGCGATCGTCAGCCAGTCGCCAAGGCGTTTCAAATCGCCTCAGGTGCGACATGTGAGGCCTACACTCATACGAAAGGAGTTCACTTAAACCGCCATGCTGCTCAACTTTTACTGGAAAGATTTGCGGCTTTAGACATAGACCCGAGGAACATCATGCATACTCTTCTGCAAAATCTAGCTCCATGAGATCTGAGAGGCGCGAAAGGCTCAAAGCAAAGATCACACTGCCAGCGCTCTGCCTGGCGACATGAAAGAAAGAAGCTAACAAGAAGAAGCGCTTCTATGCGCTGCTGACGATGGGCTCGAGCCTTCACTTGCTCTGCAATGGCCTCGCTATCCTCCAGCGGATCTACCTTGCAATCGGCTGTTCATTTGACATCCCACCCAAGTCTTGAATTGCAGTTTGTCCGATGTCCCTTTCAACGATGGAGTTTCTTGGTGGACTCTTGAACCCGTGGACATCAGGTAAACATCATGGCATGCACTGCCACACGCAGCTCCCCTTCCCCATTTCCTCACTCGACAAGCGTGACTTTGCCTCATTTTTAGATACACCGGTACACGCCTCACGCGTCTGAGTCGCCAAGACCCCGCTTGACTGATGTTTCTTGCAAAATCGGCTCCACCGGCTCTCCTCCCCACCCCACTTCCGAGAGCCGCCCCACTCACCTGTTCTTGACGCTCCCTTCCGTTGGACAGGACGATTGCAAAGCATAGCATAGACAAATCTCAACGGTGTCCGAAGTTTTTTTGCTGAACTCCGCTGGATGAGTTCTCTGTCCTTGGTGCCTAGATGCCCTAGACCTCCAGCTAATTCAACAACAGTCTGTCAACAAAGCACAGACTCGTTCAGAAAATGCTACCGTTTGTTCCGTACAAGTAGGTGGAGCACCTGGGCGGCTGGAACAAGCAAGCCTGATGCTGGCCTGGCAGCCAAAGCGGTTACACGCTGCTACTGGTGTCTAATTAATACTTTTTGGGCAGCGACAGATTGGAAATCAAAGGCAATTTTTGATGGTTATTACACATGTACCTCGCACAGACAACATACGGAGAACGCTGAAGACTAGTGAGATCCTTAGGGTCGGCAGATCCTCTGAGACAATAGCTCATGGAAATACAATGAGAAAACTTGAAGCTTCCACTAAACCCTTACTTTCTAAACTGCTCATTAACCTGCCCAAGGCCAGGTTCAGCTTTGAAGCGCAAAACCTAAAGACGACCGATTCTGTCTGAAGCAATGAGTCCAGTTCCTCCTACCCCGTGGGTGAGCGTCAGGGAATCTTAAAACGGCCGTTTGGAGGTGGGAGCGTGGGGCAAAGTTCAATTTTGTTGTAATAAACGCCAGAAAGGGTATCTGCTACAAGATGAGGGGAACCAGGAGGGGGTAGGAGCAAAGTGGCCTTTCAAGTAGTGTTGCGTAGGGACAATGTAGGGGCTGCCATAGTTGCGGTTGGGATTGATGAAAGCCTCATGGATGCAAGGCTTAGAATTTTTTTGAAAGCGTTTCTTACTTGAGCGTTCGCCGAAACTCCTTGTATAATCCGATGGCATGGACAATTCGGGGGGGTCCTATCGCTTTTGGGGTCTTGGCGTAGGATACTGGCAACGGTGTCGCTTTTGGGGGGTTCAGCCAAAACACAGTCATGCATACGTCTTAGATTGAGGGGTATTGCTTTTGGGGGGTCCTATCGCTTTTGGGGCTTTTCTCGCGATTTCTACATCTCACGGCATTCCTTCTCTTCGTGGCTAATACGCGAGTATTGACCATTGCTCACTTGAAGTGAGAGCTCTCAGGTCAGGGAGCTTGATCAGAACATGGCTGTGGAGCAGAAAGCACTTCAATTGGAATAACCTTGGTAGGGTCATAGTGGATTGCGATTAGATTGTAATTCAAATAAAACCGTTTTTGACATCTAAAATTTAGTTCCTGCTACCTGAAAGGCAGAAGCACAGTGTGAGCTGCCACCTAAGCCATAAGTTTGAGCCACTCTGAGCAGAGAGAGCACCTGAGATGGCTTTATGATAAGCTTCGAGAGACAGGGTGTGCTTTGAGACTATGGAGACGGGCTTGAGCGGCTGTTGCTTTTCATTTGCTATCATTTGCTGGCCAAATTATTTGAAAGAAAAATAACGTCCCTTCAAATGGCAGGACCTGTGGGAAAGTTTTGGGCATGCGGTTAGGACTTACTCCGAGTTTGTATTCCCCTGCCCGACCTGAGGACCTGAAGACCTTGGAATAGCAAGAATCTTCTCCCTCAACATTTCTCAGGTTTGTAAAGCTCTCGACTTCCTGGGACAAGCGTTCTCATTTTTTAAACTTTTGGTGCCGCAGTGGTACTGACCTGGTGCCTGGTGCGCAGACAAGTAATCTAAGAGAAACTCCGTCTCAGACAGCACCTGCCGGCTGTTTCTACAGCATGTTTCGTAACTCACTGAAAACTTAAGTTGAACAATGAAGGGATTTGGTTGGTGAGTTTTGTGCGGCCCAAAATCCAACAGTTTCTGTTTTTTCGACCGCTCAAAAACCAAGCAGATTGGCACACATGTCCTTCAAGCTTTTGGTTTTTGGGATCCCTCTCAAGAAGCGGGCTAATCGGCATTCGTCAGATTCGGAACAAAAGCTCTATTCTGGCATCCTAATCCTTGGATTTAATAGTCAAAAATTGTACCCAAACGGTGCCTAAAAATATTCCTCATACATCCTACCAAACCCGGGCACGATCGCATACGATCACCTGCGTCAAATGAGAGGGTTGGTACTTGCGAAGCGAAGTCTGCCGAAATCACTTTAAAGCGACGTGGTTCGACTGGGAAGGACGCGGCCAACACTCGCTAGCTACGCTCCCCGCCTCTATTGCGTTCTAAAAAGATTCACCGCATGGCCGTCATCCAGCAAAGGACTACATTGACTACATTTTACATCATCATCATCATCACATGTCATCTCTGCACAGCAACAGCCCACGCAGTCCGCGGAAAATCCTTCGCAACGCTTTCGGCAACAATAATCGATACACGAGCAGAGCATCGCAATACAGACCACAAAAAATGATCAAGAAATCATGGAATGACCATACTGCCGATGGACGGAAGAGAAACATTCTCTTGAATTCGGAATCACGATTGCAACTCCGGTCTTGGGGACGCCTACCTGCCATTCATTTCCATCCGCCGCTCCTAGTCTTGGCAAGAATCAGCTGTTCTGAAATTCCCGAGAACCATACTTTCCCGCGCTCAGAACCTTGTCTCCATTCAGGAATAGCATCTTCAAAAAGCATGCTGCTGCTTAGTTGCTGTACTGGATTGCACCTCTGTCTCGGCCATTGAAGCTGACCTTAACGACACGGCGCCATGAACAAGCACGTTGCAAGTTCAAGAAAGCGCAGAAAAGAGCTCACATTCGGCAATGTAAGCATGCCCTTCATGCCCGCTCTGGGCTAGATGGGGGGCCTTGGCCCTTCTTGGCACACTGTCCAAACATAAACAGCCACGCCCCGTAGCTGTGCAGCCAAGCATAGCCAAGCCGCTCCACATCAGCAGAGCTGGGCTCTGCAGAGGAGGAGGTGGCAGAACGCGCGGTTGGGGAGGGTGGCTCCTACGATCGGAGCTCTCTGAAGCAGGGACTGGTGAGTGGCATTTTCTTGCAAAGAGTTTGCCTGCGCAGAAGCAGATTCGACATCCGCAGCTATTGGACCTCACACGGCAGATGACGGCAGTCTTCGCAAAATTCAGAGCTTGAAAGCTGCTTGAAACGCGCAAATATGCGCAGATGGTATCTAGGCAGCGTGCGGGGCAACCGGCCAGGCCCAGGCAGCATGGCACAATGCCACTGGTCTTTAGAAGCTGTAAAACCAAATTTGGCAAAGGGGTGAGCAGGGAGTTTAATTGAGTCAGCGGTTGAACTCAGCATAGCTTTGGTGTTGTGATGCCCTTCTGCTCTTCTGAGGCGGTTGTCCTTCTGCATCAGCAAAACGCCACACATGCGGGAGCCAGATCAGCAACGTGTGACGCTGAAGTCTAGGCCGCAACCCATTCAACAACTAGGCCTGAGGCCTGGAAGAGCCTAAGCAACACATCCATCGAATCCAAGGCCTGCTATACCTATGCCGTTGAACGAATTCAGGTCTTTCAATGCTGTTCCATGCTCATCTTGACCTCCAGGAATTCCTCCTTGAAAGAGCATTGAACAGCATTGGCCGGACAATCAATGATGCCCACACCTCCAACTTCCCACAACCCTGATAAGGAAGCGAGTCTTTGGTAAATGGCTGTTGGGGAAGCTGAAGGCTGAAGCCGCGCGCTTTTGTCAGGAGCGGGTCAGCTGCCAGCGAGCATCTTCTTCCTTGGTGTTTCAGTGAATCCTAGCGCGCAAATCTTAGCAAGGAAGTTCCTTCTAAGGCGAGACACCGCTGCTCGCTCCAGAGCTGTCGGAGGCTCACCATCTGTTCCTATCCACACTTGACGAACTTTCCGTCAGTTTCGGGACGAGTTTATACACAGCTAGCTTCTCTACTCCAACTGCTCATCCAAAGCGATTAACAAGCAAGTCATTTGCCATCAAGTTCTAGAAGCCCGGCTCTGTCCTTTGCTACGCGGGGCGTTGTCGTCGACCGCGCAGACAGGGGGGGCGAGGGAGCGGAAGTGCCTGGCTCCAGGATACTCCCCCATACCAATGAAGCAATTGGAAGCTAATGAAGCTATTTTCAAGCTACTCCCACCAGGAAGTCAGGAACACCATCCTGTACCTACGTTGGATAAGGGATATGGAGATATGATTTGACAGAAACTCCTGACTAAAGTTGGGTTTCGGCACCAGGTCCAGCAGCGAGTAGTTATAGCACGCACTGCCTAATCCATTCCATAGCCAAATGCCATCTGCAGTGTCTTCGCCTTGCTGTTGAGGTTGGCCTTGAGCCATATCACGATCAGACCTGGGTGAGGATCTGCAAGTGCTTTTCTGCTTTTCATTAGCCTGCTTCAACTTGGGTTGAAATGTGCTGGAAGCTAACCTAAGTTGCCTGCGCTCTCAGCAGCAAATTGCTCCACCTCAAGAGCGAGCAATGTCTTGCTAGGGCTGGGCTACGCAGCTCACAAGTCAAAACCATCTTCCACTGCTTCATGCTGCGCTTGGAAGAACTTTGGCATTCAAGTGCCTGTGAGCCTCCGGTTTCCTCTTGCATCCAGTCCTTTCACAATCTGAACTTTTGCCTTAGTTCCTTGTACACAAATGGGGCAGCAACAAAAAACGTTCCCAAGCTAAGTATCCTTAACATTGTTATTAGCACATTTCCTCTGACAGGGACTTACTCTAGAAGAGCCGTTATCGGTAATTTTCCTCCGGTTATCCGTGAAAGCTTTTTATGAAAGGGACAAAACTTAAGGGGCCCACCAATTCTAAACGGAGAGGCGCGGGGTTATTTTACCGTCTCAAATGTAAGCCGTGCATTTTTCTAGCATTCTGCACAACAGTCCGGTGGCGAAATTCGTGCAGACGGCAGTACCCCTTTGAGATTGATTTCATGTTCCTTCCTGCCCGCGTTGGTCCCAAAAGGTTAGCTGAGGGCCTTTGAGGACACGTATATCCCGGTCCTGGTCCCGCTTGCATGCCCTGGCAAGTATTTGGCTGGCCCGGGCCCATGCTGTGAGTCTGACGTGATTCGGCGATATTCGGCTGTTAGCTGAGCAGCTCCCCTCAAGGAAGGATTCAAGGAGTCTCGGCACGTTTTTGCACTGCTGTAACCCGCAGGCCTTGAGTCCAGGCCCCGTGACGGGGACAGCTTTCTTGCGGGAAAGCCTCAAGCAGAGACTTGCCCGGCACACTTCATTGACAATTGCGATGCTCCCCCAGCCCAGCAGCAAGTGCTGTGAGCCCAGCAACTTCCAAAACTAACAGAGTCAAGGAGCCCCCGGTCCACGCCACGGGCGGAACTTGAGGCGCCTGCACGCTTCGACGCTGCGCTCTAGGATTCGAGCAAATCGTCAATGGTAGTCTCATGTCTCACGTTCTTCAGGTTGATGTGTCTTGCGGAATCTTCTGGACTTTCCGGTGACCGTGTTTCAGGACACAAGCTGCAGGTGAGCAACATGAGCACGAGTTGAAGGTATGAGTGAGGCGCCTGACCGTTGATCGGCAGAGTTGCCATCTTTGAAGCCTCGCTGGCTGGATTTGCCTGACAACAAGGGCAAGTAACCTTTGTTTCTGTTTGTCTTGCTGGCGATCAAACCTTGACCAGGGCAGAACTTTTCAGGTCGCCCGGTTGCTCACTGCAAGCCTTCGGGCGCGCTGGGCAGTAGGCCGCATGGCGCCTGGAACCAAAATATAGGATTCAGTGAACTCGGACACTGCGATGCGCTGGCCAACATAGGAAGGCCGCGCAGCTGGGACGGAAACAAACTGTTGATGCACGGTTTGCGCAGGGATCTCACATTTTGGGAAAACTTCTGTCAATCTTAAGCTAGCAAGGGCATGGGCGTCTCCTGCTGCCATTGGCAGAAACCAGGGTACTCAGCTTCGGAACATGTAATTTGCACTTGAGATGTGCAGAAAGAATGCGGACACCTCCAAGCCCAAATCTGAGCATGCGGCCATCGATCCTCCTCCTCGTCTAGCCTTGCATCGAGGCGCCAACAGGTGCGGGATGGAAGATTTGGGCACAGCACACGGATAAGCGCGAGCCTACATCATGATAAGTGCATATGTTGCCCATGCATCTGCTTACTGTCACAGCCACCAATCTGCATGTTTCTGCCACTGCAGAAAACCCGAGAACCCGAGGCAGCTCCCTGGACAGATATAGTTCCAGGTCTGCTGGTATACTGGACAGTACGGCGTACAGAAATGAGAGTAATGGTGCAACCGGATCTCAAAACTTGATTCGACGGATTTCCTGGACGACAATGTCAAAGACAACTCTCACTGACGAAAGCACGCATTGAACATTGATGCGCTTTTCATCCCAGTATGCGCTTACAGCTGTATAGCCTCTCACGCAGCCGCCGCAGCCGCGGCGAGGTTGGCGGAGATGCAGGCTGCCAAGTTATGCAGGTCGCACGCAATGCAGGGCTGGAAATAAACAGGGTTAAGGCGTTAGCAACAGATGCAGCAGAAGCCCTCAAGAGGCGTGACGAATCTGTTTTCCACACTTGCACTCTAACACCCTGAGCCTCGCGAGCTTGACAGCTGCTTCGCGAATTTTGCGGCGGCTCAAGTTCACCCTGCCGGCAACCATGAAGAGCAGAGAGTGCTTTTGGAATTCAACATGCTCAAAAGATCTGAAGGATGCCTGCAGACTTTTGGATTCGTTGCGTTCCTTGCTCCTGGCTCGACAGCAGGCATCGGCATAGAGCAACTCTTGCTCATTTTGTCCATCTCAACGTCGGCCCTGTCCCGTAGCTCCACGGGCAAACACGATTTCTTTCTTCTGCTTGACTACCACGTGGTCGATGAAACCGACTTTGGCTGTGTATTGCTGGACCGGCTGTTTCAGCAGCAAAGGCTTCTTCTCGTCCGTCTTGTCGATGTTCTTGCATCGATGAATTGGAGTCGTCTTGCACTTCTTCGTGCCCTTCCAAGATTTGGACTTTGCCCGCGCCTCCCTTTCCTTCCAAAACCTTCAATTTTTTATACTCGGTCCTGAGACTTCGGACCTGAATTTTTGCGGCGGTGTGAAATCGTCATGCCGTTCAGCCCCCCATCGCCTCCAATCGCGCCCCATCACTCCATCATGGATCCTGGCCCGATACACCGCGCTCATCGCCACATGATCCTCCGCGCCCCCATCGCCCCATTGCCCATCGCCCCATTGCCCCACCGCACCATCCTTGGCCTTACTCATTCCTTGCTCGCCCCCATCGGTGTATGGTGGACGGGAGGTGGACAGGGAGGGCGGCCGCGAGGACGGGGTGTGGCGTGGTGCGGCGCGGGTGCTGGATGCTGGAGAGGGTCACCGCGAGGACGAGGTGCGTCGCAGTGGGGTGCGGCGGGCTGCTCTCGCAGGAAGGTTTTTGGGTTCCGGGGTTGACCTTGTTGAATGGATTATTTGAAGATTATATAGGGACTATATAGGGGTTGTATAGGGGTTATATAGGGATATGTGAGGATTATGATGGCCTCCCAAGACGCAGCCATGGCACGTGCTAACAAGCACGGGTGCTTAATCCTCACATATTCCCTATCTGTTCCCTATAAAATCCTCGCATAATCCTCTCACGCCGCCGCCACGGGGACGTGGTTCAATTAGACCAAGCACTGGCGCGAGGGACGTTTAAAGATGCTGTCATTTCTTCTTCTTTTCGGCCTTGTACATCTTTGGCTTCTTTTTTAAACCTCCTTATTATTGGGGAAATACACGGTACCACGTCTCCCACCTTTCGTCTCACGGTGAGGGTGCGCCCTCCCCAGTTTAAAAGGAAACTATGTGTTATAAGATGGCGGGGGACCATTGCCAAAAAACAAATTTATGAAATGGGCGAAAACGTCAACTCATGGTAGGGAATCCGGCTTCTAAATAGGGAGGAACCCCCCATTCCATAAGGGGAATCTGAAGGGGGATATCCGAGATGAAGTCGGACGTCTCTGGTTTGTTGCACTTGACCCTGGTTCGAACTTCGATGCACATTTAGTCGCTGGGCCCTATGAGGGTGGCGGTTGCATCGCGCCTCTGAAAAATTGCCTAATGACAGTCTCCTCGTCTATAGATTGTCTATTGGTCATGCTTCAGGGCTGCTATCGTACACAACACGACGTAGACCACTCCTCCCCACCCCCACCCCTCCTGCTGAGTCCGGTCCAAGCGTTGCATTTGCAAAAGCATGGTCAGTGGTGTTGCAGCTCGAAGGCCTAGGTGTCTAAGTCTTTAAGTCTCTGGGGTTCTGGACGTTCAAGTCGTAGGCTCCCAGACCAAGTACTCACCCTCGTCAAGGGTCGGTGTTCGGAGCTATGGGAGAGCCTGCCTTCCCCCTTGGCTGCTCGCAAAGTCAAGCAGCGCGTTGACGACCTTCATCCCTTCATCTCATTATAAGGTTGGAGTCTGCCTACCGCTGTCCTGCCTCGTCCTTCCAGGTCAGCTTTGGCATCCGTCGAAATCGAACTCTGAACCCAACTTGGAATTCTGGCACTGGTCGTTCTTGCGCACGTGGATAGAGGCTTGGTTGATAAGGACACCAGAGGCCAAACCCGGCACGGTCTTTCTCACTCCACACGAGAGCTGGATTTGGCGCTAAAATCCGACAATTCTCTATGCGGAAGCTCAAATTCAAGCCAGAATGAGGAGACTCCACGCCACAGCTGAATCTCGGGCAAAAATTTGAGGATGCCCCATGCGAGAGCTCAATTTTTCTTATTTCGTGTTTCCTTACTTAATTTTTCTTAATCCCCATTTCATATCCAGCGCAAAGCCTGTGCGACATCCCGCATGAATTCTCATCCAGCCCGCGGACTGCACTCCAGCATTTCTACACTGATGCCATCCTTAAAACGAAGCTAGCAACCAACCATCGGTTGGTGCTAACCTAATCTCTGCTAATTGCCCTGCTGCAATGCGCTGCATTATGCTGGATGCATGTGCTCCTTTGGGCTTCTAGATTCGTCTGGACCCGTCCCAGCCTCCACACCGCCCTGCCACTGGCCTGAGGTTTCACTGTAGTCTCTGTTATGGCACTCGCCGAATCACATGCGTGGTTCTCATCTTGCAGGCCCCACAACCACAACGTCAAACCGGTCAAGTTCCGTGAGTCATGACCAGCAGGAACGCCTAAATTAACTCCACTGGGCCACCAACGGCGCAACAGAGCAGCGGCCGCCGGCTTTGGCCTCTGCTGGTAAGTAACAGTAGCGCAAGATAGTGCAAGCCGCCTTGCCTTAGCCTCATTGCGTCGGTAGCAAGTAGCGAATCATGAGTCCAAGGCATGAGTTGGGAGATTCTGGAGACTCTCTGCGACACACAGGTGCAGGGAGCACTTCGACACAGTTCTCTCAAAATTCTCTTGAATAGCGAGGTAAGACTGCTGCCCTCTCTCTCAAGAAATCCAAGAACCACTTGCACATGTCTGCAAAGAAGAGGAAGCTCTTCTTCTCTTTTGTGGCGTATGAAGAAAGCGTTCACGCGTAGAAGAATGTTGCTATGCATGTTTTTGCAACTCCTGCTATGCAACTGTGTTGAAAATATGTAGCGGAATGAACTGCTCGCTTGCGACAATGCTCATGCCAATGCGAGGCATGGCATGGCAACCAGTTGCAAGTACGCCAGTGAAGTGCTTGTCATGTTCCGTGTGACGTCTCACATGCATTTGCATGGCAGACTGTTTGCAGCATGAGGTAAGTGTTGTGCCCGTCTGAAACACATGCCATGCACTACGATAGCAGAACATAAAGACAAGCAGGTATTTGCGTACTCCGCGTGACATGCACCTCAATAACACACGCCGCCGTGCTTCGCATTGGAATCACACACTACTATCAAGTTTTGCTGACCTTCACGCTGATGCTGCCTAGCCATGAGTGTTTTTGCGACTTTCGCCGATTGTAAAGAACTCAGCCGAGTTGCCACGGCGCACGGCACCGCAAGGCCAATTCGGGGACCAGCTGTCGGCCTCAAACTCATCAGGAATGGCTCCTCTGTTGTCAGGCCATTTCAGGCTACTTCACATCTGGGTTCCACACGCTCTGCACGTAGCAGCTCCATGAGACCTGGACAAGAATTTAAAGGAAGTGGCCGTAGTCGGATGCACGTCAGCTGGTGCAATCATGCACCCACTGCTTGTGACCCGAGACCTTTTTCTCAGACGCAGCGCTGGTCGGGAGGCACCGCCGCAATGATATCCTGTGGCTGCAGGCCATCGATAAACCTCGGGGCAGGCAGACGGCACTTCTATACTATAGACTTGCTAGACACCAGAAGCGCGTCGTCAATTGGGGGTTGTCCAATATTCTTTCATCTCGAATTGGGGGCTTGCGCCGTGCTTGCGCGGTGCTTGCGCGAGCTTGCGCGCGCACAGTTTGGCTTACAATGGTTTTCGCGGAGGCTCATCACACAACAA